CGGTTGTAAGTCCCCCCGCTGACAAGCATTGCGGTTACAGCAAAGGAAACCCATCTCTTGTGAAAACGCAGCTGGCCCCGAAAACTTTTGGTGTTTTAGGGTGCATTCCCAGAGATTTAGATTTAGATCGACCTAACTCCCTGGGGGTTCACGCTAAATTGCAGTCAGCCGAGCGCGCACCATACTTAATTACCTCCCTACAGCTTACAGCGGGACACACTCTTAAGCGGCTAAGCTGAGAGTAATCTAATGAGACTCCTCACAGGGATAGATCGATCTAAAATCTTAGAGGGCGAACGGTGTCATTTGGTACGGTTTAAAACTATGATTCAGCTAGTCCAAATTCTAATTTCATCGAAGAAGGGGGTGGGGGTCAGGACCCCCCTGCCCCCCACCCCCCAACCCCCCTGTAAATCCGCCACTGGTCTGATCCTCTCTCAAACTATCTGCTCTAATAATTCCGGCCAGTAAATTCTATGAGTAGGGTACCAAAAAAGAATGACAGTTTTTTACTCCCACCCTCCATCTCTCGAATGTACATGTACACATAAAAACAAAATAGATCACAATTCTTGTTTTAATGCATGAATTAAATTGACAAAATTACAACTTTTTTTAATACAACATTCGTAACCAAGCTGTACCCATTCCTCAGCCTGCGGCCCGGCAATACACTCGTAATATTTCACGTTCGGCTCGGCGGCTTGCATTGTATCTATCGCTCATCGTCCTTCTCTACATTCTAACTCTTACTTTTTCATCGGTTCTAACCAGGTCATCCAATAAAGAACATTTCCAGCACACAAAACAAATAAATGGGAATAAACGCTTTAAACTATAGTGATGCAAGGTCTGCATGGACTGATATAATCAGCCAGATGCTCATTGTTATCCTTATAAGAAGGATGGACAGGTGCCGAAAACGAGAAAGTATGACTGATACAACATAGAATGTTTGAATCCGTTTTCAGATGACGCATTCTGCAAAAAGTTCTGACAATTAATGCATCTTGTAAAAAAGGCAAAATATTCGTTTTATACTAACCTAAAAAATTGATAGTTTCATAAATTTTAGGGGAAAAAACAATCGTATGCTAATATGAGACCACTGTTGCCCTTAAAATTCCTGTCTGGTGAAAAATACCTCAGCACGGCCCGGTTTGAGAGTGAAAAAAAAAAAAAAATGTTCTACGTGCCGAACACTGGACGATCTTTGAGTTTTCATTCTGCAACAAAAGCGATGCTTGTGCCTCCTTTCTACGACCGCGGCGATGCTTGTGCGTCCTCTCTGCGACCACGGCGATACTTGTGCGTCCTTTCTGCGTCCATTGAGCGACCATCCTCCATCGCGTTCTCTCTGCGATTGTTTTGATCATGCTCAAAAGTTCGCGGCCTCCTCGGCGATGCTCGAACGTTCTTTGTGCGACCTTGGCGATCACTGTGAGTTCTTTTAGCATCCGACGGCGTCCTAGCCAGTTTTATGGTCGCACAAAGGACGCAGAAAGGACGCCGTCCAGTGTAAAGGGGGTATTACAGGTCACCCGCATCACAGCGATGCCGAATTTCATGGTCGCAGAAAGGACGCAGAAAGGACGCCGTCCAGTGTAAAGGGGGTATTACAGGTCAGACGTCATTTAGGGACTATACACGTGTCTTGTGCCGAATGTTGATAATTCATGTCACTGCTGCATTAAGTATAATAAAATGAATGGAAACATTTTATTGTGTTTTGTAAGCTCTAGGTAGTAGTAACGTCGTTACTGAATAACAGCTTGCACTACAAAGTAGTAATATTTATAAATGCATTTTCATACGACGTCCAAGGCCGCCCCGACAAGCCCTTTTTTATCGTAAGCCGCCCAGCCCTCTTTGAAAATATAGGCCATCTGGTGATGCCAGCAGCTATCCAGTTGACAGCTGGACGGGAAAAGCCTTGCCCAGAATGGTGTAGTTACTTAAGTAGGGGCTTACTGATACAAACTTTGGGAACTTATGCAAATTATGCCTGCTTGTATCGAACTAAATTCTAAATAACGGTGCAGTACTGTTGTTCGATGTGGTTTGCGGCAGTTATCCAGTAAATCGTTGTAGGATTCTTACGCCTTCTTGCTATCCTCTTCATCAGCTTAATGTTGAAACTTCTTAAAGTTGAACTTATGTATGGTATCATCCAAAACCAACCAATTATATTACAGAATAAACCTCTGGTATATCTGATTTGTTTGTGGACATTGTCACCTTCTTAGTTTGGAGGGCAAGCTGCATGGATCAAGTCCGTGTCAAAATTATTTGAAGATTTGCAGGAAAAATCTTCTTTTGTTCCTCTGGTTCCTTATACAGCCCGCCGTCCAGATTTTATCTAGTGCCCCTAGGTCTGCTGGAGCTGCTCTTTGAAATAACACATGCAGGTAGATTTTTATCTGAGATACATATTGCCAACGAGTGTGCCTTCAATAAACAAAGGCTACCTGAGAGTTGAAGGGCACTTAACCCTCCAATTAAAAGGTAAAGGAAGTTCCAACTAGATGGACGATTAAGATAGGACTTATGAAGGTAGCTAGTATTGTTTATTTACCTCAGTTCTGTGAAAGTAAACGAGGTAGGCCTACGTCCTTTTTGAACATTTCAACAGATAAATATATCACGTTAATTAATGTAACGTTGCCCAAAAGCTTAAAAGTCTTACGCAATACACTCATTTTCAGCATGAGAACCCGATTTATATGTAACAAATTTATGCTGTATACACACTCCTGTTGCTCCTTAGTAAAAATGAAACTGATACACATGTACGCAAAACCTAAGCTATGCCTATACACAAGTTAAAATCAACCATCCTTTAGATAAACCTCGCGAGAAATCTGTTGATACACGTATTGGTGCGGTTTCAAGGAAAGTTATCTACTGCGTTTCGTGATGTTAACTAAACTAGTAATTAACCAGCGAGGGGATCAGGGGCGTAAACAGACCTTTTAAATTGTAAGCACAGATTTTAAAAATTCCCAGGTACGGCTAAATGTAAATTTAGAATAAATGCGCCAAATATCATAGCTCAGTTTTTACCAGTAATTAAATCATCAGTTAAAATTAAATACATCCCGTTTACATTATTTCACCCAGAACCAAACCTTTTTTCTAGAATTGGGGTACAGGCTGTCCAAAAAGGGGGGGGGGGGGGGAAAAGAAAAAATATTTTAAAAAATAATAATTTTCAATGGGAAGGGGGGGGGGGGTTAAAACAATCGATCTGCGGCTGACACTCTTTCGCGAACCAATTCCCATGAATAAATATAAAAATTGCCTTCTCGTCTAGCTTAGATCGTGAAAGATCTCCGGCTGACGATCTTCCGCAAACAAAAGTATTGAACGGATATGAGAATTGCATTATCGTCTCGCGAATGATCTCCCGATGACGATACGAAAATTGGGTTCTCGTCTTGCTCTTTGGCTAACGAAGTCTTTTTAGCACATACAACATTGGTCAAAAAGGTTGTCCCACCCCCATTTCCATGTAGGCCTACTTTTATTTACAAATGATCATCTTACAGGTGTACATTGTTATAAACGGTGCTTTTTATTCTAGATACCATGCCTAACGTGATTAATGGTTCAAAAAATACAAAATAATGGTGTGAATATGCACATTTTATACCATTTAGTCAAATTTATAACAGGTACAAAATGTTAGTCATTTGCAATGTAAAAAAAAAAAAAAAAAAAAAAAGTATTATAAAAGATGGGAATATTCAAGGACTTTCAGTTATTATCTTTTTCGTCGTGGTTATTTGGGGCCGTGGCGATAGTCCGAAGGTTCAATAGTACGAAGGTTCATTGGTCTGAATGTTCACTATAGAACCTTCGGACCAATGAACCCTTGATTAAAAAATCGATAAAAATGTTACCACTTTTCGGACCAATGAACCTTCGGACTATCGAGACGCCCCCGGTTATTTAACAGTGTAAGGCAATTTGAGAGCATTTAACTCGAGAAATACGCGACGCGATCCGCGGGCCGCTATTGTTCTGACTCACAAAGGCCGGTTTTTTCACCCCGTTTATCGGGTTTATCACCCTGTTTATTTAAAATGAGAGTACAGGAGTACTTTTCTATTGAAAATGGTGTACTGCTCACAGTGGATGGCTAAAAGCGAGCTGAGTAAATTTAGACCGAGTAAGAGTAGTATTTATCGCTGCTGGGTCCCAACGGCTCAAAGTTTAATTCCCGCACCGATAATAGCCGTATAACTACCATAAGGATTATAAACCAAGGCTATTAAAGTGTCTTCGAATTTAATCCGTTACCTGTAGTAATACGTAGGGCCTACATGTATTTAGGCACCTTTTCCAAACGAATATGTCTGAAATAGGTGACTAACAAATTGATTGCATTGCCTTAATGACTTTTGGAAAAATATAAGGCAATAAATTCGTTTGTGGTTTAATCTGAAAGAAGTTAATGTTGTAACGATATTTTTTTACATCTTCAGCCAATCACCATATCCCAAGTACATATTGCCAACGCAGCAGAACAGCCAAGACAGGCCCAATTTTACATGTGGGATGAGTGCTTTCACTGGACCTCCGACCACCTCATATCCACAAGCACTGAAACAGGTATGTGTTCCTTATACACACGGGTATTATTAACCTTTTGAAAAAACATGAATTACTGTACTGTAGGACATGCACACATGCATGCCCATACTAGTGCTAGTATGCACACTAAAATGCATGATACGCAAGCATGCATGTGAGTGCAAAAATCCACAATCATGTTTATGGTATCGTATTTCAATTGTAACCCTTTTTATGTACAGGCACAGTATATACATATATACATGTATGTTAACCATCACCTGGGTCTGTTCAAGGAGTTTCAACAAAGAAACCGTAGCAATAGTCCGAAGGTTCAATAGTCCGAAGGTTCATTGGTCCGAATATTCACTATCCTTTGTTCTCTCGTTGCGTCGGGGGCNACAAATCGACACCACAGACAAACATTAACGGTACAACACTGAGTGGTAAACACATATATCAGGAAGCCAGCTGTTGCCTATCCTGCGAATGATAGCATGACTATATACAGTACAAACAGGAAAACCCCTCTGTCTCTGCAAAAAACAATGTTCATGTAATTATCCAATATTCACATAATCTCATTTTCGTATATGTAGATTAATTTTTAAAAAAATTGGCGTAATGAGTTTCAGGCTGAGGTAAAGCCACCCGTTACTCTTTTACATACATCCACTAAGTCTAATATATATCAGGTCTTTTAGAGAGGTATACGTAAAACACATAATAATCTAGAGAAATGACATATAGTTTCTATACCACTGGCACAATCGTACCTCCAGACTGTAACAGGTACGTAAACTACAAAACGATGTACCACATACCTATCATGAGAGAATTTATATAGTTCGCATTAGATCCATTCTCCTCTTTAAGCAATATCTCATATTTGTATAGAGGGAGAATGGAATGTAACTCATCATATATTCGTTTTAATCAAAATATATTTGGTTTAATGTTTTATTTTCTTATTTTAACTTTCTTGTCAATGTCATCGTCAATAGAAAATCTCATTCTCTGGCCAGTGTGTTTCACTTTACCGTACACACTCCCATCATAAATCCACGACTGTTCAATTTGCTCGTTTTCCTTTAGGCGCTGCAGTAATTGAGCGTTTAGTTTGGTAATATCGTCAGCCAGCCGAACACCTTTGTCATGCCTTTTCAAGGTAGATCTACTCCGCATTATACGTACCTTGATTTCCGTGTTTTTAACATGCATAAGAATTGGCCGTGGAGACCCTTGCCGACCGGGAATTCGGTGCACCGCCGTGATGTCATCAGCCGTTATCTGTACTTCTCCCTGTTCCTTAAGCACCTTGCACACAACATCCCGAGTGTTTTCATGTTCCTTCTCTATCACCCCGTAGATTTTTATGTTATTTTTCCGGGAATATTGTTCATTATAGTTCGCCATTTTGATAGCATTGTTTGACGCATAGTTTGCTTGCTCCACTGTTTCCGTGAGCTTTCTGAGAGACTTTTCTTTTCCCGCTAGCTGTTCTCGGAGAGCGTCATTTTTCAATTCCAGTGAATCGATTCTTTCCCTTAGCTCTCCAATATCCAATTTATACTTGTCTCCTAATTTTTCTAGGTTTGTCCCGATTTCGTCTTTGAAATTAAGTAGAAGTTTAGTGACAGTTTCCGCGACCATTTCTTGCACAATGTCTTTTAGATCATTTGTTTTTACAGTATTTTTTATTTCAGATTCTATTTCGTCTAGCTTTACCAAAATTAACGATGTTTCTTCCGTACTTGTGTTAGAAACTTCACTATGGGATCTTTTTGCTGGCTGACTGTTAGATTTCTTGTCAGCTGTGGTTTTCATTCTGTCTGTCATACAATAAGGCTGACTTGAAACTATTGTTATCCAGTGAGCAGTACTCACCGCACTTGTCACGATCTATTGTCAGTTGTATAGTTATGGTATACGTTATGATGAATGTCAAAATAAAGCTTGATGACAAAAAATAAGTCAGCTAAGCAGCTTTCATTCACAGGAGACAGTAAGTATTCACACATTTATGTATCCATAGCTTTAATATTTCTTACCGATTGTTTGAATTTGTAAGAAAATCTAGGAGCGCTCTTACGGTCGCTGTCTCCTCCTTGGCCTCGTTCTCGTTTTTTTGTAACGTTCATCTTTGCGATGCTTAGAATGATACGGCATAGCTATATATAGTTTTTCGGGTGCACATGCTACACAACTTAACCATAACATTAAAGGTATAAATACAACAGAGCATAGAGAGGTAAACTGCATAAATAAAATTGTTATAATAATAGCGTTTTCATTAAAACGCTTATTTATAACGAATTAATAAATCACGATTCTTTTTTGTGCGCACACATATCTGGAATATTTCAATTACGTTCGTTACTGGGTATATTTGGGATAAAATGCACCCCTACGCCATATAAAAGAACAAAAAGTACATTAAAAATAATGGGGTCTAATTAGACTTGCGTGTCATTATCATCTGAACTTCTATTAGTTTGTTGAATTCGTTTCAAAAGTGAAAGTTTCATCTTTTTCCAAAACTCCGCCCTTTTATGTTCATTTTCTTCCTCCGGCCATTCCAGATAGGTCACGTGACGCTTCATGAGTCTAAGCGTCTTGGGAAGCTGTTTATAAGGTATCTGCTCGAGAAACACAACAATGATCGCCCCACGCCTCTCCCGCAACACCTTTGCCTGAGTAATGTCAACCTCGTACTTACACCAATCACTTTTAATAAAGTTGTGCGAGATTATCAGTATAGTGGCTCTGCTTGCCTCCATTTTCTCTACTATGTTGTCTATGATGTATTCCCCAGGTAAGAAATCTCTTGAATGGATACACACTTTAAAGCTTATGTCCTGACCTTTACCTTGACCCTGGTCGGTACTCTGACCTTCACCCTCCACGTGAGGGAGAAATTGCCGCACAATCCACTCCTCACTACTGCCGGCGTAAGCAACGAAGGCGTCATATTCATAATGTGCTTGGTTCTTATTACATCTTACGTAGCTTTTACGAAAACGACTCAGTCTTCTTAGATGCCAACAGTATACGATGTCCAGACGATGATATGCGACAATACTTGCCAATCCCGCAACTACCACAACTCCGGCTACTACACATATGAAAACAAAAGGAACCGTGTAACATGTTATCCAATCAGGATCAAAGTCTCGTAACCTGGTGTTTGTGAGCTCGGCGGGAACACCGCACGTTTGGTTGTCTCCCTCTAATGCCCGTATGGTTGGATTTCTGATCCAAGCGGAGAACCTGCTATTTTCGCAGGTACAGAAAAAATTGTTTTTCTCGACGTTAAGGTAACGAAGTGCGGTGTTTTGCTGTAGCATATTCACATCAACAGTAAAGAGCCTGTTATAACTAAGATCCAGATGCACCAGTGAATATAAAACGTTTATTGAAGAATCTATACTTTTCAGAAAATTGCTCGATAGATCCAGATATTCTAAACGAGGTACCTTGGAAAACATGTTCGCCGGAAGTGAGATCATGTTGTTCGAAGCTAGCACTAGTATTCTCAGATTAGGTAAAGATTTGAAAATGTTAGGAAGTGTTTTGCCTCTCCAAATTCTTCTGCAAAATAAATCGTTACCCGCCAAATCTAGTTCATCCAATCCCGATAGCCCTACAAACAAAGACCTGCCGTCATCAGAATCCGGTACACAGAGCGCGTTGTTCCTGTAATGAAGATTGACCAGTGTGGACATGTTTTGGATGTAAAATGTACAGCCCGTATCCCACAGGTACAATTCGTTCAGGGAAGTCAACATCGTTAAATTGAGATATTGGTTAGACAATGGATTATATGTCAGATCGAGATATTGTAAATGTTTATGAAATGGAAAATCTATCTGTCTCGTATGGGTGAACACGAAAGAATTTCCTATGGCAACCAACTTTTGCAGGTTAACAAAGCTCGAAAGTATTTTATAAAGAACTTCCATATCGTAAATTTCGTTGTAACCGATGTCCAGCTTGATAAGCGACGATGACATATTTGAACTTGTTGGAAATGTACTGGCAATCGTTGATATACGGTTTATTTGAAAATCGGCTCTCTTCAAATTTGGAAGTAGCGCAATGAATCTTGGCAAATCAACGAGTGAGTTCTTCTGAAATGACACGTTCTGAAGTTCATTTAGTTCCAAGAGAGCACCATGCTCTATTGTTTCTAAATTGCATTCCGACATGTCGAGCTCTTTCAGGCCAAGAAGGCCACTGAAAGTTCCATTTCTTAATGTTTCGATCCTCCCTGATATTCTGAGAGACGTAGTATGGAGCGGTAGTTCGGGAAGATCACCCTCAGTCATGTTGGTGCAATTCACGCTCAGTCCCCGGTTGTCGTCAGTGCACGTGCATTTACGGGGACAGAGAGCACCAGTGAAAACGACCCTTACATTGGCGATGAAAAAAACACCCAAAAGTAACAGAGGTCTACGAGTTCCGAAATTCATGGTAGCTCTGTTGTGCTTGTCGTAATTGTTCGTCAGTTAAAATGTCAGAAAATGAATAATTTTAGGCAAAAGCCGTAGGCACCACTGCCGGTCTACAAGCAAAAATTGCGCACGCTGTATTTAAACCAGTGTTGAACGCGACAGAGTGAGTAAACCACGCCCTGTAAGTAGTAATCAAAATTTTAAATGTTGTTTTTTAAGTTAACGCAACACAGGAAGCTCCCTTTTGTGTCAACCTACGTCATTTTACGTTGGCAGGTGAAAAAATAATTAGGCCCACTCAGATCTCATGTTGAAATTGTATATGTTTGCTCTATGTCATATGAACCAGGAAGGGGTGTGGAGGGTAAAGTCATGTTTAGTATTAATTATCTTTAAATGGTGCAGCGTGGTAAATTGGTCCATGAATGAGAGAAAATATGGTTGTGCCTCGTTTTTATCTTTAAAATGGTGGAAAGAAACACACTGTATCCGTAGAAAGAAAAAAATCTGAAATAGCTCACATATATTTTTGCGTTTTTTCTGTGTTATCTTAAACCTGGGAGCATATATAAGTTGTGTCACATCTACTCTTTCATTTTGCATGAAATTCTGTTATCTGTGTTCTGTTGGTTAATTAGCAGCCACGAAGTGGCGTTAAATTATTGAAAAATTGTCACCTGTTCCCCTATTTTTTTGACTCATGGACGAAGTAGGCCCACTTAAAAATCCGCTTTGTGCACACTCACAATGCTGAAAAGAATGCGTTTAAGATTTATCTTGTAAATCTGGCGCGTGAACTGGATCTTTACCATACATTTGAATAGAACCAGCTAGGTAAACCTTTGTACACACACAAATAGTCCTTAGAAACCCGCTGTTGACTTAAGCATTGAGGTTGAAAATAGGCGCCCACCTGATAGGGGAAGTTGTCTAGAAAAGCTCTTTCCTTAAAAGAATCATAGGGCCAAACAATTTTCACTGTGCACGAAGATAAACAGTTAAAGAATGCCCTCAAAAAATTCAGTAAACGAAAGCTGCGCCAACATATAGATAATCACTACTGTATATAAAAGCACACCAGTGAACAATTGAAAGTTTTTCATTTTAAGGCGGGAAAGGGGTATGATGGGCTAGAAATAATGTTTTGGTTTTTTTATGTGTTTAAAATAAATAAATATGTAATGTTGAATGAAATAATGTTTTTTAAATAAATAAATATGTAATGTTGAATGAAATAATGTTTTTTGAGTCTAGATCGAAAAATCTACCTAGGTGAGTTTTTCAACCCGCATGTGCCGCAGGCAGACTGACGACTACGCCACGCCTCCGTAAGGTTGTATGATTGTATTGTATTTTTGTGGACTATATTCGTTTCTACTGCCATTTCATAAAATATCCTGTAGTGATTTATTGATTGAATTTTTTTCTAAACTTATCAAAATTTTAAAAGTCGCCATTCTTATCTAAAAGATCTTACTCTTCTTATCTTGATTGATTGTTTGATCTATGGCAAGTACCAAGTGGCGTCAAAACAATCTTACCTGTCAAAAAATAGTATTAACACAAGTGACGGGCACTTTATCCCTACCGATACAAACAATATCATCTGATCACTTAATACTTAATCACCCTAATAATCTGAAACAAATCCGTCAAGATCTGCTGGAAGAACGAAAAAAAAAAAAAAAACACACACACACAGACCTGTAACCCTTGTTGGAGGCATGCCGCGCTGCCAACAGTAGCTAATTGCAGTACACCGTAGACGCACACGCTACCAATAAATAATAATATTAATAAGAAGAAGAAGAAATTTATTTGAAGCACTGCAACAAAAAGATAAATGACTTTGAATAAAAAATCATAAAGTAAAAGATTTACATAAGGATTAAATTAAATAAACACAGGCCTGTAAAAGTTTGTTGCAGAAAACGACAAGAACTGCATCTTGCAAAACGACAGAAATATCAGAAAATGGATAGGTACAAGAATTTAGAAAATAAATTCCAATTGGGCCAGGTATGAGACCACTAGTAGCCGTTACCCTCAGATGTCCTGACAGGCTGCCTCTGTTGAAAAATGCCCCTGCAATTGTTTTGAACATGTTCAAAATTTTGCAGCGACTATGGCGTCCACGGAGACGCTTGACTGTATGTGTGCGATCTCAACGATCACCGTGCGTTCTTTGAGCGTCCAGCGGCAAACTGGCCAGTTTCATGGTCGCACAAGGGACGCACTTGGGCCGCCGTTCAGTGTAGAAGGGGATGTTAACTGATGTAAGACTTCTGACCTGTTACCGCACTGATGATCGGCTTATAATAACTTTGACCCCCCCTCCTCTCCCACATGGCAATGGTCATTATCACTGGAGGCGTGGCTTAGTCGAGTAATTTACATCCGGTTTTGATTACGCTTGGGAGAAATGTCGACCCACAGCTTAGACCAGTAAGTTTTTTTCACTTGACTTACGTTCAAAACACCAATTTTACGTCATTCATCGGGTGGCTAAAAAAGATTACAAATGTCAAAATTCAATAGTTTCAACAGATTTAAAGAAATTGTAATAAAATCTGGGATATTTTGGTAAAATGTTTTTTTTTAAATAAATGCTAAAAATTTCATGACTACCTTTCTTAGTTTTGACACCTCGAAAGAATTGAAATCTTAAGTCGAAAAATGATGCCGCCCTATGTAACTTCTGACAAATACAAATCTCTGGCAGTTTTGACACCTGTCAATGTGCTTTTGATTGATGTAATATCAAATCTGTTTCACTTTAACACCTGAAATTTTCAGGGTTGAGCAATAATAATGTATCGAAAACCTGAACTGCTGAAGTTATTGAACTTTGAAATATATATAATTGGCTTTTGACTTTTTTTGTCTCATATTTTCCACAGGTGCCAGGTTTTTCTCCATTTTTTAAAAAATAAATAAACATATTTGAAAAGTTCTTTTATTTAAATCTAACAAATTTTGACAATTATTTAATCAGAACGGAAATCACTGTATGACATTCCTTACATAGAGTTATTTTTTACACCTATAATCACTGTTCCGTAATACTCGGCGAATACTTACACTGACTATTTACTGCTTTGAAACCATCTGTCAACACGGGGCATTTGCTTATGTGATCACACCTTTGGTGAATTTAACGACAGATAAAAGAGTGAATCGCCAAATCAATTTCAACACAGTACCGGTATTACCACTGTTTTGTTGTTGTTTCCGATGGTAATATATAATTAATCAACACGAGTCCAGAATCCGGTTTAATATGGTGTTTTATTCTTTCCTATCAAATGATTTCTTTATACATAATTTCTGGAAGGATCTAGAACACGGTGATAATGCAAAACTGTGTTTTTCTCTGATTTAGCCTTTTTCTATGCTACTTGAATAGCTGTGAGAAATAAGCTGCATCTCTACTGTTGTTACTGCTATTACTGTTAAGTGGCGGATGTGAACTTTATAAATCCACACACGTGCTTTAGAGAAGCTCACAATAATATCTATTTATAGATTCAGCTTTCATACCAACGTATCAAGTTCGGGGGAAGGTTTGCCTGTTATTTACTTTTTTTTTTTTTTTTGTAACGTTCATCTTTGGGATGCTTGGAGATGGTACGGCCTAGCTATATATAGTTTTTCGGTGCACATGCTACACGAGGTGTACACATGCTAGCTCTTAACCATAACATTAAAGGTATAAATCAACAGAGCATAGAGAGGTAAACTGCATAAATAAAATCGTTATAATAATAGCATTTTCATTAAAACGCTTATTTATAGCGAATTAATAAATCACGATTCTTTTTTGTGCGCACACATATCTGGGATATTTCAATTACGTTTATTACTGGGTATATTTGGGATAAAATGCACCCCTACGCTATATAAACGAACAAAAAGTACATTAAAAATAATGGGGTCTAACTAGACTTGTGTGTCATTATCATCTGAACTTCTATTAGTTTGTTGAATTCGTTTCAAAAGTGAAAGTTTAATCTTTTTCCAAAACTCCGCCCTTTTGTGTTCATTTTCTTCCTCCAGCCATTCCAGATAGGTCAAGTGACGCTTCATGAGTCTAAGCGTCTTGGGAAGCTGTTTATAAGGTATCTGCTCGAGAAACACAACAATGATCGCCCCACGCCTCTCCCGCAACACCTTTGCCTGAGTAATGTCAACCTCGTACTTACACCAATCACTTTTAATAAAGTTGTGCGAGATTATCAGTATAGTGGCTCTGCTTGCCTCCATTTTCTCTACTATGTTGTCTATGATGTATTCCCCAGGTAAGAAATCTCTTGAATGGATACACACTTTAAAGCTTATGTCCTGACCTTTACCTTGACCCTGGTCGGTACTCTGACCTTCACCCTCCACGTGCGGGAGAAATTGCCGCACAATCCACTCCTCACTACTGCCGGCGTAAGCAACGAAGGCGTCATTTTCATAATGTGCTTGGTTCTTATTACATCTTACGTAGCTTTTACGAAAACGACTCTGTCTTCTTAGATGCCAACAGTATACGATGTCCAGACGATGATATGCGACAAAACTTGCCAATCCCGCCCGTGAATAAACCGTCGTCGTGAATAAACCGTCGTGCCGCGCTGGTCATGCTGCTTACCTGGCCATTGTTCTCCGGTTTTATTACGCAATTTGGAGGCACTGTACAGTACCGATCCCCACATATATATATCACACCTTACCTGGTTATTGTTCTCNAAAACTTGCCAATCCCGACACTATCACAACTCCGGCTCCTACACATATGAAAACAAAAGGAACCGTGTAACATGTTATCCAATCAGGATCAAAGTCTCGTAATCTGGTGTTTGTGAGCTCGGCGGGAACACCGCACGTTTGGTAGTCTCCCTCTAATGCCTGTATGGTTGGATTTCTGATCCAAGCGGAGAACCTGCTATTTTCGCAGGTACAGAAAAAATTGTTTTTCTCGACGTTAAGGTAACGAAGTGCGGTGTTTTGCTGTAGCATATCCACATCGACAGTAAAGAGCCTGTTATTACTAAGATCCAGATGCACCAGTGAATATAAAACGTTTATTGAAGAATCTATACTTTTCAGAAAATTGCTCGATAGATCCAGATATTCTAAACGAGGTACCTTGGAAAACATGTTCGCCGGAAGTGAGATCATGTTGTTCGAAGCTAGCACTAGTATTCCCAGATTAGGTAAAGAAGATTTGAAAATGTTAGGAAGTGTTTTGCCTCTCCAAATTCTTCTGCAAAATAAATCGTTACCCGCCAAATCTAGTTCATACAGTCTCGATAGCCCTACAAACAAAGACCTGCCGTCATCAGAATCCGGTACACAGAGCGCGTTGTTCCTGTAATGAAGTCTGACCAGTGAGGACATGTTTTGGATGTAAAATGTACAGTCCGTATTCCACAGGTACAATTCGTTCAGGGAAGTCAACATCGTTAAATTGAGATATTGGTTAGACAATGGATTATATGTCAGATCGAGATATTGTAAATGTTTATGAAATGGAAAATCTATCTGCCTCGTATGGGTGAACACGAAAGAATTTCCTATGGCATCTAACTTTTGCAGGTTAACAAAGCTCGAAAGTATTTTATAAAGAACTTCCATATCGTAAATTTTGTTGTAACCGATGTCCAGCTCGATAAGCGACGATGACATATTTGAACTTGTTGGAAATGTACTGGCATTCGCTGATATACGGTTTCTTTGAAAATCGGCTCTCTTCAAATTTGGAAGTAGCGCAAGGAATCTTGGCAAATCAACGAGTGAGTTCTTCTGAAATGACACGTTCTGAAGTTCATTTAGTTCCAAGAGAGCACCATGCTCTATTGTTTCTAAATTACATTCCGACATGTCGAGCTCTTTCAGGCCAAGAAGGCCACTGAAAGTTCCATTTCTTAATGTTTCGATCCTCCCTGATATTTTGAGAGACGTAGTATAGAGCGGTAATTCAGGAAGATCGCCCTCAGTCATGTTGGTGCAATTCACGCTCAGTCCCCGGTTGTCGTCAGTGCACGTGCATTTACGGGGACAGAGAGTACCAGTGAAAACGACCCTTACATTGGCGATGAAAAAAACACCCAAAAGTAACAGAGGTCTACGAGTTCCAAAATCCATGGTAGCTCGCCGCTCTGTTGTGCTTGTCGTATATGTTCGTCAGTTAAAATGTCAGAAAATGAATAATTTTAGGCAAAAGCCGTAAGCACCACTGCCGGTCTACAAGCAAAAATTGCGCACGCTGTATTTAAACCAGTGTTGAACGCGACAGAGTGAGTAAACCACGCGCTGTAAGTAATAATCAAAATTTTAAATGTTGCTTTTTAACAAAGTCTACGCAACACAGGAAGCTCCCCTTTGTGTCAACTTACTTTATTTTACGTTGACAGGTGAAAAAAGAATTAGGCCCACTCAGAGCTCGTGTTGAAATTGTATATGTTTGCTCTATGTCATATGAACCAGGAAGGGGTGTGGATGGTAAAGTCATGTTTGGTATTAATTATCTTTAAATGATGCAGGTCATCGTCACCGTGCAGCGTGGTAAAATGACCCTTGAATGAGAGAAAATATGGTTGTGCCTCGTTTTTATCTTTAAAATGGTGGAAAGAAACACACTGTATCCGTAGGAAGAAAAAAATCTGAAATAGTGTGACGATGTAGTGTGTTAGTTGAGATTGTTTTATATTGTTACCGGTAGATGTCTCTATAAGTAAAGTGTTGTTCGGTGTGCAAGTTTGAATCTCTCCCGTGATTGGTAACCTAAAGGTAAAACTGTTCACTGTATAATTGGTTCTGATTGGTAAACGTGTACTATCTGAACTTGTATATAAGGTCCGACTTGAAATAAATCGGTTTCTTTTCTTGGGCTTTTGGCTACCTATTTGGTCTGCGAGTTATTATTTGGCTCCTTTTTTGGCTCTTAACTCTGAGATACCAGTAAGTACATTGTTATTTGTACCTTCATAAGGCACTCGGCCGCGAAGGCGTAACAATTGGGGCAGTCGACAGGATAGATTTTGTGTTGCTTGTTAATAAATGAAAGGATACAATTTGTGTAGCATATGTTGTTAAATTGACAGGATAGATTTTGTGTAGCTAACGTTGTCAATTTACGGGATAGAATTTGTGTAGCTTGTGTAGTTAGAGGATAGAATTGTTAGTTATTAGTGATATAGGAATTTTTGAAAAGCTTTGTGTATGACTGAGTGAGAGTTGGAAAGATGGCGACACGTGTTGGACGGGACTTGTTGAAAGACGCGAACTAGTCGGAACATATTGCAGTGATATTTCATTTTCATTGTTGTTTGATACTCGCGGCAATTCAGTAAATATTGTCAAAGTAGCATTCATTTTAGTAGAGATATTTTGTACTAATTTTCTGTTGTGATACTACACCTGCGGAGATATAGTGGACCACGTGTAGTGAGTAGTAGTCGGAAAGACCACGTGTAATCACAGACCCGAGCTTGTATAGAGCCTTATGTTGTAATTAGAATACAGAACATAATTTAGTGAGTTTATTTACAAAGAAAAGCATTTATTTAAAATAAAGGTTTCAAATTTGTGTTTTTCACTAACTTGCTGAATGAAGGAGTGAGTGTGAATTGTTTATTGTATATTTTTATCAATATTGCAATAGCATATTAACCCATTACAGTGACGTCATATTTGCTCCGTAACACTAGTCCCGCGGCCATGCTGGAGGGAATGAACGACGGGGAATAGTAGCGGTAATATTGGTGAACCAAATAAAATAAAATAAACTTCATATCGCGATCAAGTACACCAAAGGGAAAAGGATATATACAAGCCGAAGCTTCAGCTGCTCAGCAGGATCGACCAATATGAACTCAAGACAGTCTAAAAACATGAAATCCTACCAAATGCTACTTATCCAACATCGTGTTGTCAGAAGATAGTTAAGTTATCTTGTACTTCATTTTTCTTGTTCATTGGGTAATAACAGTTATAGTTTGAGAGAGTTTAATGTGTAATCATA